TAATAAATCATACAAAACTGCGGTTGCCAATCCGACTGCTAAGCTGACTATAGCAAAATCATTGTCTATCAATTACTGTCTTATCAATAATCATATTTCGCTCCTGCTACGTGAAAGCAATCATTAACTGAAAGTTGTGCTTCATAGCAAAATGTGCGCTAAAAATAACCTGTCCAGTAATGACTATATTGTTATTTTATGTATGACAACATATTAATAATATTTTTCTTTTAGAATTTTAGTAGGTAATTTTGTAGATTACCTTGCATATGAAACGGTCACTCTGGATTTTGATAACTTGAAATAATATGTAGCTTGCTACATATTTATTTATTTATTTAAATTTTATTGAACCTTATATATTACTTACAGGAACAAAAAGCGGACTTAATGCTAAAAGCATTCTCTGCTAGTCAACCTTAGTGGCAGTGATAGAACTACGAAGGCGGTTACAAAGAAATATACATACACACATACATATACATATAATACGTATATACATACACAATAACCACAAATATGTAAATATATATATTATAAGAAAATATAATATAATACAAGATTCGTAATATACTGATAAAACTAATATAGAGATTACAACTATAATGATAACGAAACTTAGCAGTTGTAAAGCAATTTTAGAAAATGATGTCGAACATTCTTCTTAAATGTTTGTTAGGAGGTAGGTTGTCTCAATTTTAAGACAGGTAATTCTATAGACGCGCGGCTTGGACAGCAAACGATGAATATATGAAACTCGAACGGTGAAGGGGTATAAAGAGAGCAAGATTCTCCGATGAATGAAGCTGTCTATCGTGAGTGTCCCGCAGAAACTGAAACCAATGTTTCACATAATTTGGATAGTGGTTAACGAATAAAGTAGAAAAAAAATTGTTAAGTATCCTAATGTGTTTTCGCTGACGAATTGGAAGCCATTTAAGCTGAGTGCGGAATGAGGGCACATGATCAAATTTGCGAAAACGAAAAATAAAACGGATACAATTATTGACGAGACGATCCAGCTTATCAAGGAAAACCTCATTGAGATCAGGAAAATATACATCAGCATAGACATATATGTCAATAATAGGCAAAATAAGAGATTGCACCAGAGTTATCTTAACCTTGATCGGTAAAAAGTTCCTGAGACGGTTCAAGGCACTGAACTTAGCAAAAACAGAAAAAAAGTCGCCATGCACGTAAATTTTGTATCATTAAATAAATCACGTGTTGTAAGTAGATATTTAAAATTTCCATAACACAATTTCTAGCTACCATTTGAAGTAAAAGGGACTAGAATTTTTTATACATGTAAAATGCTGCCACTTTTCAATTTTATTTTATTATATTACTTGATATGGTAATTAATAACACAATAAACATGATTAAATTTACCAAGGTCTATGCGGTGCAGTAAATTCTCAACTTTTATGTTCCTGTTTTTCAAATTATATATCTATATAAACTGTTGGTTGCTTAATGGAAGTAAATTTTTTAAAAGTTAACATAATACGAAATTATGTAGCCTTCATTCTTCCTTGCTTTCTTAACCCTGCATTAGTCGCGCGGGCTACATATGTAAACCACCCCTATAAAAAAGGCAATTTCTCAAAATTGGTTAGTGCTAGCGTCCTGTACCGCCAGGTATTTTCAAATGAATGTTCGAGAAATGCGATCAGTCACACGCGGTTATTTCACGGGAAGTCAGTGAAGTGCATGGACTACAACTGTAGCCCGCGCGACCAAAGACGTAAGTATTCTTGTGATAACGAATTATTTCATTTTTATCTATTATGCAGTCATTACAGCCCTTCACAAGTCCACTGCTGAACATAGGCCTCCCCCAAAGAATGCCACAAAGCACGGTCCCGAGCCACCTGCATCCATCGACCTCCTGCATATCTTACCAGGTCGTCACTCCATCTAGTGGGGGGACGCCCTACACTTCGCCTGCCGGTACGAGGCTGCCACTCGAGAACCTTTCTTCCCCATCGGTTGTCGGTTCTTCGAGCTATATGGCCGGCCCATTGCCACTTCAGCTTACTAATCCGTTGGGCTATGTCGGTCACTCTAGTTCTACTGCGGATATCCTCATTTCTGAGTTTATCACGCAGAGAAACTCCGAGCATAGCCCTCTCCATAGCTCGCTGAGCGACCTTGAGCTTCCTCATCCGGCCAGCAGTGAAAGACCACGTCTCAGTTCCGTATGTCATCACTGGCAACACGCACTGGGTGTACAGTCTCGTTTTCAAGTTTTGAGGTATACCTGACGAGAAGATGTGCCGTAATTTCCCGAACGCTGCCCAGCCGAGTTGAATCCGTCCATTGACCTCTCGGTCGAAGTTGGACTTACCTAGTCGGACTATTTGTCCCAGGTAAACATACTCGTCAACAACTTCGAGCTTAGTGTTCCCAACAACTACCGGCATAGGTGTGACATGGACATTAAACATGATCTTTGTTTTGTCCATGTTCATCTTAAGTCCTATCCGTTGGGAAACACTATTGAGGTCATTGAGCATAGTGCTTAGGTCCTCCAGCGATTCTGCCATAAGGACTATATCGTCGGCAAATCGAAGGTGAGTGATGTACTCGCCATTGATGTTGATACCGTATCCTTTCCAGTCCAGAAGCTTGAAAACATCTTCCAATGCAGCGGTAAAGAGTTTCGGGGATATGACGTCACCCTGTCTTACACCTCTCTGCAATTGGATAGGTTTCGTACTCTGGTTCTGTACTCGGATAGCCATCGTAGCCCTACTGTACAAGCACTTCAACACTTCGATATACCGACAGTCAACTTGGCATCCCTGAAGGGACTGCAGCACCGCCCAAATTTCGACGGAATCAAAGGCTTTCTCATAGTCCACATACGCCAGACATAGTGGCAAATTGTACTCCTCGGACTTCTGTACAATTTGCCGAAGGGTATGTATGTGGTCTATGGTGCTAAAGCCTTTTCGGAAACCGGCTTGTTCGGGAGGCTGGAAGTCGTCAAGTCTGCGCACGAGACGATTCGTAATGACTCTCGAAAACAGCACGTAGACGCGGCTCAGAAGGGAAATCGGTCTGTAGTTCTTCAAGAGAGCGTTGTCGCCTTTCTTGAAGAACAAGACCACCGCACTTCTGCTCCACGCCTCCGGTGTAATGCCACCATGGAGGACGGAATTGAAGAGCTTCTGAAGGACTTCAAGTACCGGTTTTCCACCCGCTTTCAGAAGCTCCGCTGTAATTCCATCCTCGCCTAGGGCCTTGCCGTTTTTAAGGTGCTGGAGAGCCATTCTAATCTCGCTCAGACTGACGTCCGGGATATCATCGGAATAATGTCGGATAAGACTCGCTCTTAGATCGTTACTCACACTTGCGTGCGGCTCCAACGATGACGTGTACAGCTGCCCATAGAACCTCTCAATCTCACTCAAAATCTCAGGTGCCCCGGAAACGATGCTGCCACATTCCGTCTTCATCCTTGACAGTTGGCGCTTTCTGGCAGACAGATCTCTAGCAAAGGCTTTGGAGCCTTGGTTCCGCTCGATCGCTTCTTCAATACGAGCTGTATTGAATTTGCGTAAGTCCCGCCGCATGCATTTGGAGATCTGTCTGTTCAGTTGCCTGTATGCTGTTAAATCTGTTGAAGAATGTAGCTTCATCTCCCGTCTAACAGCCATGAGATTAAGAGTGTGATCGGAGAGTTTTTGTGTTCTTCTGCGGCGGGTCTTGCAGAACTTAGCTCCGACCGCATGGACAGTTTCCACGAGCTTGTCATTCAAATCGTCCACTTCATTGCAGTCTTCTAGGCACTGAAAACGGTTTTGTAACTCGAGCTGAAACGTTTCGGGACTTTGGATTATTATGCAGTAAATGAACTAAAAATCATTATTTAAATTTTATTTATTGGTTCGGATTATTGTTACACAATGTAGCTTTATGTTTTTAGGATATAAATAGATTATCGACGAGATGCACAGATTGAGGCATGGCTGGCTGAGGTTGTGGGCGAAATCGAAACTTATGAAGCTGAGTCAAACTCCGACGAAGAAGTAGATCATCTAGAAGAGCAGGACCATCAATTGGAATCCGAGCAAGAGCAGGAGATTCCAGGCGAGGTGTTGGACGAAAGCTCTGAAGATGATGAGCAGTCTCAGCGACGCCGGCGCATAGATTTTTACTCCGGAGAGGACAATATGTTATGGTCAAAAACAGTTCCTCTGAACAGAGGAAGAACACGAAGACACAATATAGTATTTGTACCTCCTGTGCCTAAGGGAATAGCTCGATAAAACCAATATTGAAGACTGTATGTCGCTTTTTTTTGATGATCAGATAATCGGCCTTATTACTAAATACACTAATAAGAAAATTGACCATATCAAGGACAAATATGCAAGAGAACGAGATGTTAGAAAAACAAATGAGATTGAAATCAGAAGCTACATTGGGATTTTACTAATGGCTGGAGTGATTGGGAGAAGATCTAGTACTGCTCAAATATTTGAACACGTAAAACACACAGGAATCAACGCAATATATTTGACTATGTGTGAACAAAGGTTTAAATTTCTGACAAGGGTCACGCTTTGAAGATATTGAAGACCGCCAAACTCGTGCAAGCATTGATAAGCTAGCGCCTATTAGAAATATTTTTGAATTGCTGCTTGCGAATTTTCAAAAGTATTTTGTTCCAAGTGCGGAAATGACATTGGATGAACAGTTGATAACTTTTTGAGGCCGCTGTTCTTTCAGGCAATACATTCCCAGCAAACCGGCAAAATATGGAGTAAAAATTTTTGCCCTTGTTGACGTTCATTATCCTTATACGTTCAATTTAGAAATATATGCAGGCCAACAACCAGAAGGTCTATTTCGCTTGAGCAACGAAAGACATGACATTGTTATGAGGATGGTACAGCCTGTGCTTGGCAAAAACATGAATATCACCATGGATAATTTGGTTTTCTTCACTTCGCGTTGCAAAACAGCTTTTTGAAAACGGCACAACTATGGTCGGCACAGTACGAAAAGACAAACGAGAAGTTCCTCGGGAATTTCGTGTCGCAAGAGGAAGTCCATTATGTTCTTCTAAATTTGAGTTCCACCCACCATGCACACTAGTATCGTACGTGCCAAAACCAAATAAAGTTGTCATCTTGATGTCAACGATGCATAACGATGCCATAATTGATGCTGACTCTGGAGACAGTCGAAAGCCAGAAGTAATAACTTATTACAATAGGACGAAAAATGGAGTTGACTCTTGAATGGAGAGTTAGTTCCTACTAAAAGTTTATTTGTGATCTCAAAAAGAGCGATTCATGTGATTTTTGTGCCATTTTAGACAAGTTTTTTGTTTTTGTTGATTATTAGTAACACAGAGTTTGTGATTAAGTTTTGTTAATTATATTTTGTTAAAAAGACTGTAGTTATTATATTTACATTTTAATAATAAAAACTTTATGCTTATTTTATTTTTTATTTCAATTTGTAAATGGACTACATATGTATCCCGCGCGACCACTTACGTGACTTTTATAGGCGCGACTACTGCAGGGTTAATGTCATAATAGATTGGTGGTGATTTTTAATTTATATGCATATGCATTTCGCCAATTGATCAGTTACTCGATAAAGTATTTTTACGATATTATCATGATCATAAAGTTTCATGTTTTTGTTACCACCTCAAACATATTATTAACATTTTCTTAATTATGAAACCTTTCGTGTTCTTACTGTTTAAATTTTACAGAATTATAGTCTTACCAAGAGATTAATGGTAGTACCTAACATGGAAGTCACCTTTAATATATTAATTAATTTATCAGCCATTAGTGTTGATCTACTTAACCCATTTTGTTGTAAGTTATTTGAAGCCTTTGCTATTTTCTATCGACTTCAAAAAGGAGGGAGTCCTCAATGCCAGGGTCAAATCATTAAAGAACATACAGTCATGTTCTTTAATGATTTCTTGTATTTACGCGAACACTACACATATAAATAAAACTAATTTTACGGAGTTTATCGCGTATATTAACGTATTTTATATTACCGAAGTTTTGATCACTTTACAGCACCCATGGTAACGGGGGGGGGGGGGGACTGAGATGTATGACGTCCCAATATCATAGTTAACCACGGCTACCTCCAGAATAAAAATTATTAATTTTTGTTCCGATCTAAGCATTATGAACTAACAGTATCTTGAAGTATTGCAGTTGTATGCTTGGGTTGGGATTTAATTTTATTAATTATGGGATCCCAAGTATATGATAGCGCCCAGCCATCTTCTCTATTGAAATTAGGGTGTTTTTTGATTTTAATAGCCTCGCGAATCATCCTAGGAAGGAATCAGTATTCTTTAGCGAGGATTTGTGGTCTATAAAATCTAATGTAGTGACGGGGGTGATCCTATACGTGTTCACAGACTGCAGACTTTCCGGAGAGAGGTTTTTATGGATCTTTTAGTTTGTCCTATATAAGAAAGACCACATTCACAATCAAACTTGTACACTTCTGCATCTTGCAGAGGGACATTACACTTGACTGATGTCAAAAACTGACTAATCTTCTTCGGCGGCTTGAAGTATGTTTTAATGGAAGCACGCTTCAAGATGTAGCCAATCTTGTCAGTGACACCTTTGACATATAGCAGTACAGCAGGCACTCGCTCGACCGTGGCCGTCTTCACTCGTTCACTGTGACGTAGGCACGGGACCCGAAGCTTATTGTCGTGCAAAACTTGCTTGACGTGTTGGAGCTCGGCGACCAGGTGTTTACTGTCACAGATCCCTCGTGCTCTCTGAAACAAAGATTTACCCACGGTAGCTAATTGTGAAGGATGGTGATGAGAATCACCGTTAAATACCTATCTGTATGGATCTTTTTTTTACACACAGTATGACTCCGAAGTTATCAGGATTCCGAATTACTAACACATCTAGAAAAGCTAAAGAATTGTTGGCCACTAACTCCATTGTGAACTGAATTATAGAGTTTATGGAGTTAAGATGGTCTAAAAATGTAGTTACTTAAAGGTAGAATTGTGAAAGTGTCGTCTACGTACATCTTGAAGAATCTTGGATTTATTTATAGATTGTAAAGAACGTAAAGACATTGTGAGCCTCTCTGTTGAGCGAACTGTAGAAATGGCATGTGTTGAGTTTGAGCACCTCATTGTTGTGAGCGTCTACAGACCCCCATGTTGTACATATGATGCTTTTGAAAACATTATGGAGGAAGTATTTGCTAAGCTTAATAAACAGAATAAATCTGTTGTAATATGTGGAGACTTTAATATCAATCTCCTAGAAGCTTCCTCCATCAATATTAAATTTAGATCATTGTTTAAATCATATGGTCTTTTTAATTTATTTATAGAGCCAACGCGTATTTCTCAATCTAGTGCAACATGTATAGATAACATTTTTATAAATGTGAAGCCGTTGCTAAATGTATAATTCAAAAATTAAGTTCTGATCACTATGGACAAGTAGTTTCGTTACCTAATGTTCACAAAAAGCAAGTAGATGAGAAAGTTGTGTCTGTTCCAGTAAATGCACGTCGCTTGGAGAAATTTAGAAGTAACGTAGTGAAAAAACTTCCATCACTTTCATACCAAAATGATCCTAATTTTTTGTATGGAACATTATTTAAGCTTATTTGCAATGAATTTAATAATACTTTTACTTCTAAAACATTCTCCTTGAACAGTCGGAAGTCATTCAATGAATGGGCGACAGTAGGAGTCCATAAGAGCAGGCATAGGTTATATGATCTTTACCATGAAAGGTCATATAATCATAGCGTCGAATTTAGGGAATATGTAAAAAAAAATATTCAAAAATATTTAAAAGAGTGTGCTCCATAGCCAAGTCTTTGCATTTGAGCAACAAAATTAAGACGGCTTCCAATAAAATTAAAATGACATGGAGTATAATTAATAGCGAAACTGGTAAGATCAACTCTCGCAATTCAAATTACCAGTTAAGTGTTAACAACAAATTAACTGTATCAGATCAGGACGGAGCAATGGTTTTTGAGAAATATTTTACTGATATTCCGATCTTGACCACTAAGTCACTGAATTCTTCTCCTGCCGTCACCGAATCATTACTTAAACAAAATGTAAATGTGTGTACAAAGAATTTTACATTTCATAAAGTGTCATCAAAAGATATTGTAAAATATTTTAAAACTATTGATGTTAAGAAAACTGCGGATCTGTGGGGGATTTCCGTTAAAGTTATTGCGTCTATAATAGATACAATCGCGCCTCATTTAGCTATTATTTTTAATACTAGTATCGAATCTGGTGTGTTTCCTGATTTAATGAAGCATAGTAAAGTAATACCTTTATTTAAATCTGGTAGTACATTAGACCCCGCCAATTTTAGACCTATTTCTGTACTACCAACACTTAGTAAGATTTTTGAAAAAATTGTTCTTGTTCAAATGTTAAATTTTTTTAATATAAATAATTTACTTCATAAAAATCAATTTGGTTTCACAAGGGGTCGCTCGACAACTGATGCCGGTGTTGAGCTGATTAAATATATCTTTAATGCATGGGAGAATTCACAGGATGCTTTGGGTATATTTTGTGACCTATCCAAGGCCTTCGATTGTGTTCACCATGAAACATTAATCAGGAAACTTCAACACTATGGTGTAAGAAGTGATGCCCTTAACCCGCCGGTACTCGCGTCTCATTTTGTGACATAAGCGGTCGCGTGAAGGTCTAAAAGACCCCAAAGATAAATGCATTATTCTATGCCAATAAAGGGAATTATATTTTTTTAATATAAACGTAAAAGAAAAGGATAACTAAAACAATAATGAGTCACAAATATTTATATATTTTGATTTATTTTTTATTTTTATCACAATAGCAAAGAGTTAAGTGCTAAATCTTACTTTTTTATGCATAGGAACCAGAATCATAGTCTAACTTTTTTATTCTAGTATAACTGGAAAAAAAAAACATTATTCTTACAAAAACTAATAAATTTTCTTCTAAAACAATCTATAAAATAAAACATTTAACATACCATTTTTTTTTTATAATCAGCTTTCAAACTTCTCATAAAAACCTTTCTCAAAATATTTCTTATTTGTTTTCTAATTAGTCTTCTTGCCGTCTTATCTTACTTTTGACTCATTTTCTGATTACAATTAATGCATAAAAATGCGGTGTGATCTCTACATATGAAAGATTTACATATTTGGCATTGAGTTTTGGATTTTCTATTCTTTTTAGGGGGGCAGGTAGAACACCTCCCACGAATGTTACTAGGCCCAGCCGATGCAGTTTGATCTGTACTTACTTCTCTGCCAAGTACTTGAAACATTCTGCTCCGAATGTGTCTGGGCAGAGTCGTAATAGAAGATCTCTTTTCTATTTGTGGTTTAACAAGGGATAAAGCTATGTCTTTTAAAAAGTTACGTCTTTCGAGGGGTTCTTGATTTATATGCGTTATATTTGCGTTATAAATAACAAACGCATTTATACATCCCACATTCATAAGTCCAAAAATATCGTTATTGGCCATCTTTTACTTACTCTTGATACAGAATATGTACCACACATCTCGTCAACCACGTCCACTCCACATTTATGCATATTATAATCCGTTATCACTTCTGGCTTGCGTTTATCTCCTGTATCAACATCTATTTTCGCATCATGATGCATTGTAGAAGCAAGAAGCACCACTTTTCCCTTTCTTGGTGAGTACGATACTAATGTACAATTAGGCTTAAAGCCAAAGTAGGTAGTCCATTCTTCTCGTCTTCGTGTAGCAACAAAGCATGGGGGTATTTCTGGTTTATTTTTACGAAGAGTCCCTACAACCGTAAGCTCATAATCTTCATACAACTCTGTCATTAATGGGATACTCGTGAACCAATTATCCATTACCACGTTACGATGAGACCCTCTTATTTGCTCAACCAAACGTTTCACGACATCTGGAGGAGAGTTACTTACAGCATGTGGTCCTAAATTTTGCCTTCCAGTGTATACTTCTAAACATGCCGAATAGTAAGTTCTTGAGTCAGCCATTACAAATATTTTTATTCCGTATTTGGCAGGCTTCTTCCGCATGTACTGGCGAAATGGACAACGATCACGAAATGGCTCCAGTTTTTCATCAATAGTCACTGTATCCCCTAAAGAGTAATGTTTCTTAATAATTTCAACGAATTTGGTAAATAAATCTCTAATTGCAGCCAGTTTATCATTTTGTCTCCTCTGTTCGCGTGT